AAAATCTGTTTTCTCAAAACGATTTGCCGGATTTGGACTCTTTGGTTCAGACTTAGAACCGTGACAATTTGAGAGTCCTGAGCTGTAGTGACCCCAAATGAACAGAACGGGAGCTCGTTCCTCCCGGGGCGTTCGGGGACGTCTACAATATCAGATGCTGAAATCTACTGGGTTTAAACATTATGCTAGTTTTATTCCATTGAGACTATTTTTAGCAGTTGGGTAATTGCTCTAAATCCTAATAATCAACTTCGATTTTGGAGAGGAGGTCAAATAAGTAGGCTATGTAAGGCTAGTCCTAGGGAATATTTCCTTGAAAACCTGAGATATATAATCAGTGTCAAAAAATGAACTAGCTTTAGTGACCTTCATGTCATTTGCATGCTCTTATAGAGTGAATTTATTTTCATTTTATCGTTTAAAACTTTAATATGAGAACTTTTAAGCCAACTTGTTTATCCTTTTATTTCTTTTAAAAAATTGATGTTTGCCAAATCTCTGGTACTTCTTGCCACTGTTGATCTAATCACAAAACCCTGGATTCTCTTTTTACATGACTTCTCCATAATTTCTATATTGGAATTTGAGTTTCTTAAAGTCTAAGCTCCTGAATCATTTTATTTTATCTTTCTTAGTTACAATATAAATTGGAATTATGGATTGTTTCCACAAATGTGGGAAGACCCATCATTTGCAAACTCTGAAGTTGAGGGGGCACTTGGAGATAACGATCCAGGTACTAGTTGATCATTCATTTCATTTTATCTCTTTACTAAGCATTCTCTTCTACCAAAAGCAAAAGAATAAAATAATTGAATTTAATTTGCCAATTTCTTCAAATTGTAGTTGATGTTGTTGAGATTGGTCAAACTCGTGGAAAGATAGGACAGATTATGAAGGTCAAGCCATTAGTTGCCTTGGCAATGCTTGATGAAGGGGAACTTGACTGGAAAATAGTTGCAATTTCATTGGATGATCCAAGAGCTTCACTTGTTAATGATATTGATGACGTGGAAAAGCATTTGCCGGTAATGTTTTTGTTGAACTAAGCAATAATTTATTTTAGTTTCTTCTAAAGATGAGCACAACACAATAGTGGTGTGAAAAACTAGAAATTGTGGCTCAAGAGTAAGAAAAACCAGCTTTCTGTCAGAAAAACCGGCTGGAAGAGAGAGAAAAAGGGGAAAGCTAGTTTTTCAAGAGAAAAGGTGGCCTCCCACCATACCACCACCTTCCTAACCATGAAAATAAGGTCCCTACAAAAAATGGGCCAAGACGGATGCAAAACGGAGGTTCGGGAGCCGAAACGCGCGGCCTGGGGCCCCGAAAACTGACTGTGAAGCACCGGAGGTGGCGTTCGACCATGAAATTGGTCTCTCAGGCCACAGTGTCCCTCAAAAGAGGGAAAACAAGGTGTGTGCCAAAAACCAGAGCAAACGGAGGTAGTTGAATGGTCCCGAACCGAGGCACATGGCCGACGGCTCTGAAAAATCGGAAACCGGGCTTTTTCTCAAAACGATTTGCCGGATTTGGACTCTTTGGTTCAGACTTAGAACCGTGACAAATTTGAGAGTCCTGAGCTGTAGTGACCCCAAAATGAACAGAACGGGAGCTCGTTCCTCCCGGGGCGTTCGGGGACGTCTAAATATAGGCACAGAGAAACAAACAGAACTCGCATCATCTTCATTCATAATCTCGGGCTCAACTATGGCAACAGACTCAAAAGAAAAAGAGAAAACAAAAGATGACTCTAACATCTCTAACAAACTTAAATTTGACTCCAAACCAACATGCCCAATGGACTCAGACTCAATAACCAATTCAGAATTCTCAATAAAACTTTTCTTGACATGCCAGTTTGCTTGGGTGCCATTCACTGCATCCACAATGAACCTTGAGCAATCGATATTTGATCCTTCCCCGATCATAGAAATAGTCATATGTCCCAAGTTCACTAGTTCAACACTAGTATCAGACCCTCGTAGCAAATCAGCCAGTGTTAGACCCAGGAGGTCCTCTGTACTGCTTTTGGAACTAACATCACTATCTTGACCGATGTCAATGCTGGGATTTGCCTATTCTTCATCACTATCAGAAGGCTGATGATCGAAGAAGATTTCAAACCTGGGATATCTCGTCTTGTTCTCTTGGTCAATCCATGGTTCCAGAAACCCAAAGAAAGGTAAATCCTCTCTTTCACGGACAAAGCACGCATTCAAGGTTCCATGAATTGGCTTATGGACCAACTCAAATTGTCGTCCGGTTCTTTTTGCCTTGATCCTCTCCTTGATCTCTTCATTTTTCCTTTTCCAGTCAACTACAGTATACCCTAGTCCGAATGCATGCAGGTTATGAGGAACTTCACCAGCTGTAGCAATACCCTTCCTACTTCTTTGTCCTAACCTCATCCCTCGAATATAACCTGATTTACTCATAAAATAGATTGATTGGGCACTAATGTATATACCTTCATCTTCTATAAATATATTGATTGAACTAATTGGGCCTCTATAAATGTAAAACCCCGAGAGGAACACATCCTCCTTTCCATGTAGTATTTCTAGCAGTGGTGTATGACTTATGGGATAGGATGAACGGATGAGTTTCTGAAGACAGTGGCAACTCCTCCGTCATGTGGGTACTTTACCAATTAATGTAGTGTGGATGATACAATTTTCATCTGATGAAGCCAAGGCCTTCCTAATAGCAAGTTGACTATTGCAGGAACATCCATGACATGAAATTCAGCTTCGTGCTCAGATGGACCCACTGTTATTAGTACTTTGATTGTTCCCATCACTTTCCAACTAGCATTACCATAGGCCTAGATCAATTGAGTAGTGGGTGTGAAATCTACCGACTATAGCCCTATTGCATAAGCAATGCACGTAGGGCAAATATAGATGGCTGACCGAGTGTCAATCAGAACGATCGGGACCTATTTATTTATGCACTCTAGTGGCACATATAGAGGCTTATTATGTCTTGATCCTTCTAGTGGCAGCTCTTTGTCGGCAAAAGTTATTGCTGGGACTATTTCTCTTGGGGTGATTAGTGACATTAGACGTCCCCGAACGTTCGGGAGGATGAATCTCGTTTTGTTCATTTGGGCTTACTACAGTTCAGGACTCAAATGGTCCTATATCTAATCTCGCAGAGTGCAATGCAAGACCGATGAATCATCAAAGTGTCCAAATCCGGCAAATCGTTTTTGAAAACAGATTTTTTTTTTAAAGAAGTGCCAAACATGGACTGCTTTGCCAGATACAGAGTCGCCACCTAAATATTTTATTTTGGAGAATTTAGAAAACCCTGACTCATTTGCCTAAGGCCACGTGTCCGTCATCACCAAAGTTGCCTTGGCTCGGGAACTTGGGCACGATTGGGGAAGGTCACTTCATGCGCACCCCCGCTCACCCGATCAAAGATCGGCCTCTACTAACCATGATATCGGGTTTTGAAAACATTATGCATTCTTATTCCGATTATTAGCCTAGATTTATTATGTGATGCGCACAACATATAAGTATAGACTGGATCGCCTGAATTGGAATAACACATCTCATGTTTGTTTATCTTGAAAATGGTTTGATGGTGCTACCCGCAAGTAGGCTAAGATGTAGATTTGCCACCCTCGGGTGGGCTTAGAAAACAAGATGATTTGTCACTCTCAAGTGGGCTTCAAACTCACAGTCAATGCATTATTCCAATTCAGATAATCTAACCTTCACCCACAGGCATTCAGGCAGCTATATCACGTAAGCACATAGCCTCATGGTAAGCATGCTATCATGGCAGTCACTCACACACATGCAAGGATGCTAAAGCATAAAACTTACCCGAGTACTCCAAGCCAAAACAGAAATGCATGATCCTAACTATACAGAAATGCCTAATGCAACATATGCAGGAATGCAACTACAGTAGGCTCGACTATTCTAAAGATGGCATGTGAAATGCTACAGCTAACACGTATTGAACTTGAAATTGAAATACAATGCAGTTAGTATGATGCGCCAAGCCCGGTGCGTGCAAGACAGATAAATGGATACAAACATACGAGCATAAGTATGCTAATTGAAACATGCCCTAAACTAACCATCATAAGCTGGTAAATAAAAGGGAGAAAGACATAGGGTTGGAAGACATACATCACACACACGCACACTTATTACACAATTACCCTCGCTCAGAGAGTCCGAATAAATATTACACAACCAAGATGGATAATAACTCACAGCTAATTATTACACAATTCTAGCTAATTAACAAATCAACTAAGTAAGCAATAAACTAGCATGCAAACTATGTAGAATGGACTGCCTCAGCTCGGTTTTGGATGACAATGGATGGTGTATGCATGAGTCGCCTTGTCGGGAAATTCCATCGCGATGCCTCATCTTGCCTTTGTTTGCAATTGATTTTCGAAAGTTGCACAAGGCTCCAGAAGGCTGAAACTCCACCTTGGGAGGACTGCCAACCAGCTATTGGCTTGGGAAACACCTGCCGACCACCCTTTGTGGTGGATACCAAAAAAAGGTGGTCGGCCTGCCAGAAAACCTAGTCGGCCGACCACTTTCTGCCCCTGGATCCTGGTTTTCTGCAACACAAAGCAAAAGAGAGACATGGCAAGGTATTTTCAACAAATGTGTGCACGACCACACTCTCCGTCCTTGCATAAGCTCTAGGGAGCGTGGTCCTCGATCCTCATGCCACCAATCACGCATCTCGATGCATGATGGTCGAGGAATCGAATTGCACGACTCGATGTGAAATGAATGCACATATGAACGCAACAAGGCCTAAACTCCATCATGGATAATCCGGAGCGTCGGCGACCGGGAATCAAGGCACGTTTCGTCACTTGGAGTACGAAACGTCCCTCGTTTCCCGTGTTTGGACTAAACCCTACTCCAAACACAATGCAATATGCATGATATGCATGAATGCAATTCTAACATGCGATCCTAGATGCAATGCCACTGAATGACGCAAACATGCAAGGGATGAAATGCAAACATGCACCTAGCATATACAATGCTAACACTACATGGCATGCATAATGCTCATGAACTAAATGCGACTACCAACCTATGGCATACTCAATGCGACTAACAACCTAGCATACACAATGCGAGGAATGACATGGCATACACAATGCTAACAACATAACATGCACAACACATTGCAACATGGCATACACAATGCAAGGTGGACTTAAAACCAATATGAGTGGACCTCAGCTACACTCAAATCAGTGGCCAAATGATGGAAATGAGACAACCGAAACACATGCAAACATGCACGATGCAAGGGACCAATCCTAAGGCATCAAATGCCACTCTACCAAGGCATGGTAAAGGATGAAAGATGGCATACAAACATGCAATTTCCAACTCTGAAATAATATGCTCAATGGTCCCGAATCATGGAAACATGTCACCCAATGCATGAAATAGGCCCCGAAACTCAAAACTAGGCAAATGCATAGAACCACAAGTATGCAAAGCAAGCATTATTTGATCATGATGCATGAAAACAGAGCCAAGGCAAGCCTAAACATGCACCAAATCAGTTCCAAGCATGGCCAAAAAGTGCTAACATGAAGGGCTAAAACAACATGCGACACAGGTTAGTAAGCATGGTTTACATGGCATGTATATGAAGGACAAGAGAGGTCACCAAACCAGCCACAAATAGGAACATGGTATGTTAAAATATGCCCAAATAACCACTAAAATGTATCCAATGCATGCAAAAATGATGGGCTCCTTTGGAGGGCCATGAGGTGGATTACTCAACACATACAAGATAGACATGTAAAATGGCAAAGCCCACTCTAGAAATCAGTTATGACAGCCCTAAAACTCACCAAAATGGCCCTGAAATGGGTCAATGAAACATGCAATGAAAAGTCCCCTTGACAGGACTTGAGGAGGATTGCTCCACACATGCATGAGGGACACAAAAAATGGCCAAAAGGGCTCCGGACAGAACTAAGGCAGACCTCAAAACTCACATAATAGGGCCTGAAACTAGACTTCAAAGC